TTCTGTGCCGGTGATTTGAAAAGCTTTAATCCAGAACCCCAGATAAAACATTTTTTGTTTAGAGGGGAAGATATAGTGGGGAAAGTTATATCTACTCTACAGTTTTTTTTGTCATTTGTATCCCCACTGGGGAAATTTAACCTCACTACTTGTTCAAGTAACACTAAATGAGCTGATTCTCATCTCTACATTGCATTGTCCACATATTCTACTGGAGAATCCCAAGTGGGTTGGTGGCTCATGTTACTGGCTCCTTATTTAATTACTCAAAGGAATATATGGATATACAGAAGATATATATATATATGTAGGATCCACACGACCTTCTGAAACAACCCACTCCAGGTGTGTAACTACAAATCATTCAGTCTCACAGCAAAACTCGGGGAACCAAAAATGGTGTTCCTGGCAGCTTCTCTCTGCAGTAGCGGCATCTTGCATTGGAGATTAGTGGTCCATACTACAGCCTTAGTACTCACTCTATTACCACAAATGGAAAGTGACATATATTGCACCCCCATTAGAAGAAACTATACCCCAGAAATTCCTACCTTATCTATAGGTGGCTAGTAGTATAAGTATGATGCCATAAAACATTCAAGTACAGTACATGATAATAGGTCATTCTGTAGAACACATCAAATAAATGCTAAATGTGTCTAAACTGATGTAAAATTCAAATGTACGAAATTCTGATGATTTGAAAGAATACTTTTCTGGATTTGTGGACTTTATACATATCTGTGAAATTGTCATATACCAGCTGGCAAGCTAAACCCACATCATATACATACCGTATTTTGGATAACAAAAGCAGCAGCAATGAATATGAATACAGACAGCACAGATTTAGTGCTTGTACTATTGGATATGCCCAACACACACATTGGGTGACTACTAGAAAAAAGCAGAACTCAATACAGAAAGTAAAAAAATGTAATGATACATTGATAAAAATAATGAAATGTATTATTACACTTGACTTTCAATAGTACCTTTTGAGCATGCTTACATGAAGGGAGAGAACAAGGATGACATATATATCGTTCAATCAAAGGTGTTGGTGGGTCTTGGACCAGGAAATATTGCTGAACAACAGTCTAGTCCTTATGTGGGTTCAGGACATGTTTGCACCATCTAGCATGAGTGTCTGGATCACAAGCATGGCAAAACATAATTGTCATTTGTTCATTCATTTGATTGGTAATACATTTTGTCTATATGTATCAACTCATCTTTCTCCCTGGGATTCTTCATTAAAGATCAACAACCTTAAACAATATACAGTATAAATAACATTTAGTGTTTGATTATATATATATATATATATATATATATATATATATATATATATACACTGCTCAAAAAAATTAAAGGAACACTTTTAATCAGAGTATAGCATCAACTCAATTAAACTCCTGGGATATTGATCTGGTCAGTTAAATAGCAGAGGGGGTTGTTAATCAGTTTCAGCTGCTGGTGTTAATTAAATTAATAACAGGTACACTAGCTGGGCAACAATGAGATGACCCCCAAAACAGGAATGGTTTCACAGGTGGAGGCCACTAACATTTTTTTTTTCTACTTATCCTTTCTGACTGTTTTTCGCTAGTTTTGCATTTGGCTAGGGTCAGTGTCAGTACTGGTAGCATGAGGCGATACCTGGACCCTACAGGGTTGCACAGGCAGTCCAACTCCTCCAGGATGGCACATCAATACATGCCATTGCCAGAAGGTTTGCTCACAGATGAGAGCAGGTTCACCCTGAGCACATGTGACAGATGTGAAAGGGTCTGGAGAAGCTGTGGGGAATGTTATACTGCCTGTAACATCGTTCAGCATGACCGTTTTGGTGGTGGGTCAATGATGGTCTGGGGAGGCATAACCATGGAGGGACCTCTACAGGCTAGACAATGGCACCCTGACTGCCATTAGGTATCTGGATGAAATCCTTGGACCCCTTGTCAGACCCTACACTGGTGCAGTGGATCATGGTTTCTTCCTGGTGCATGACAATGCCCAGCCTCATGTGGCGAGAGTATGCAGGCAGTTCCTGGAGGATGAAGGAAATAATACCATTGAATTGCCTGGCTTAAATCCAATAGAACAACTCTGGGATGTCATGTTTCGGTCCATCTGGCGCTGCCCTCAGTGATCAGAGCTCAGTGATGCCCTGGCCCAGATCTGGGAGGAAATACCCCAGGACACAATCCATCATCTCATTAGGAGCATGCCCCGACATTATCGGGCATGCATACAAGCACGTGGGGGCCATAAAAACTACTGAGTAACAGTTTGAGTTTCTGCAATGAAATTTCAGAAAAATGGACTAACCAGCTGCATAATTTTTTCACTTTGATTTTCGGGATGTCTTTGAATTCAGTCCTCTGTAGGTTGGTAATTTTCATTTCCATCAAACGATGGGGCATCCTTACATTCCTAACACATTACCCAGTCCATATCAGTTTAGATGTCCAGCATGATATTTTTCCCCATTGAGATCTGATGTGTTTTCAAAGTTTTCCTTTAATGTTTTTGAGCAGTATATATACAGTATATATTTATTTATTTATTTATTTATTTTTACTTGGTTTGATTTTTGTTCTGTATGAGGGGAAGAAGTACTTTTCCTTCTGTCTAGTCAGAACCTGATCTGTATAAATTTGCTTTAGGCTAATGTAGCTCAAACCAATTATGAGATGTGTGCTCGCATCTGAAGGGGTGCAGGAGATGCCATTTTGAAATCAGAGAAATTAATAAACCTAGAAGAATCAAAGAGCACAATGTTAAAGCCTAGCTTCCAGCCTTCCTTTATTTCACCTAAACTAGTGAAGGGATCGTGTCTATTGCCATACATAGACATCTTAGAAAAAAACTGACAAAAAAACCCCAGGTAGTTGCCTATCAAAACAATTTTTTGGTTAGATTTGAAATGATGGAGGCTGTCTTAACCCCAATAACTAATAGGTGAGTTTTATGCCTATTTGTATAGCTGTAAAAGTACAGCAATTTTCTGTAATATTTGTACAGAGTTGGAGTCTCATTCTGGAGTCTACTCAGTAGAAACTGTTATTAATTATTTCCTCTTGCAGTAAGTGTAATTGTGAAATGCAGTTATCTAGCACAGGCAGGAAGGGGACCTAACAGACAAGTGAACCGGCAGATAGTTAAACCAATCAAGGAATCTGCACAGGATATTTTTCTAATCATCTGTTCTATCCTGTCTTGAACTATGTTCTTGTGTTGAAGCATCAGCCTTAGACAATTAAAGGAAAACGCCTCTTTAAAATAAAAATCCTGTCTTTTTTTAAAGGCAGAAGGAAACATAGTATCCTGCTTGTTGAAAATTGCAGTGTGTTTTTAACATGCTGGGCTAATAAAGGCTACATCAACCAATGTGAATCATTCTCCCCATGTCATGACTGTGGGGTAGAGCAATCATTTTCAGGATGTACTGCACTGTTTTACAAAAAATTGTTCTCTCACAGACATAATGGGTTACATAAGTACATATACATATCATAAAACAGCTGTCTTTATTTTATAGTGTGCCAGCAGTACTAGCACCATGATATTTTTATCACCAGCATAAAATGTAACCTTTAAAAGTAAGCAGCATGCCTAGGAGCAGACACTACATGATGTGTGCCTACCTTTATTGATCAGAAAACCTTTTTCTGTGCTCTTCTCCAATTTAATTTCACTTTGTCAGTGGGCCTGACTTTCCCTGGCTAGGTCCATCCATCTTGCCAGTGAGTGTGCCATTACGGACCACTGAGGCAGCTCCATTGGACACTGGAGTGGTAGTTGATAGGGCTTAGCCATGAAATCATGGGAAGCCAGGTTCCCATAACAGATTGATGCTAAAACAAAGTAGGGTACACAAAAAAAGCTTTCTTGGGTAATACATCTGTTTTAATGTCTGCTGCTAGTCATCACTGTCACTTTAAACCATAAAATGTAATACAGGTTCTCTTTAATTATTCTGCCCAGGAGATGAATGCATCAACATATAAGAATGTAGAAACTGCTTTGTTGCCTTTGGACCTCAAATCATTAACCTTACTAAGCCATTAGCAGTAGGTGGTTCTCTGCAAAACCTCTCCCCGATCATGTGACTAACCAATGATTTTGGAAGTGCAACTATCAGAGGAGGAGTTTTTAGCAGAGCGGTGGCTGCCACATGTAAATCTGCTATTAGCAGCAGTAGCCTTAAAAAAGCAAATTAAGGTCAGTGATTGGGTGCGCACAGGCAGAGGAACACTTTATACATGGCTATATCTTCAGGCGTGGGCCCCAAGAAATGAATGCCTTAACATATAAGTATGTAGAAACTGCTTTGTTCCCTTTGGACCTCCAATTACTGACCTTACTAAGCCATTAGCAGTAGGCTGTGAGTTTAGCAGAATGGTGGCCACCACATGTAAACCTGCTATTAACAGCAGTAGCCTTAACAAAGTAAATTAAGGTCAGTGATTAGGGGTGCATAGGCAGATGAATACTTTATATAAGGCTAAATCTTCAAGCATGAGGGTGCTAGGCCCTCACTGGATCTATTTCGAGGGGCTCAAGCATTGGCCCTTAGGGTGAAGTCCACTTTAAACCATTTAAAGCATACTATAATTTAGCAGTAAACTTCATATTGTGAAGGAGGAAAATTGTGGAAGATGAACATGGTCTTCCAACATCTTAGGCCATCACTGGAAGAACTCAACTTAAATTTTTTACAGCACCTTAAATGCAAAAGAGGTGATGCTCAACTATGAGAGGTATACCTAATTAGTATGGTAGGTAAGGCTTTATGATATCCTTTCAAAATACCCTAAAACAACTGAAATACACACACACAAACATGGCATTGACTTATGTCCCCTACCCATATCCCTTACAGCACATTTATTTTTCTATAATTACAGATGCTCTTTAAGTCCCTGATAATCTGCAGAAACCTCTAGCATTGAGCTTTATTATACTTAAAAGCAGTAACAAACACTACTGACCTTTCCCAAAGATAGGGCCCTCTTCAGTAAGGGGTTTCCATTTTGTGCCAGTGGCAAAATTCTTGAAGTGTTCCTCCAATTGTGTGCCTATGGCAAAAATCCTTAGTGAATAGGGCCCAATAATAGTTATAGTTTCTGTATGTCAATCACATTTCACATATGAACATTCTGTAAAGCGGAGCACAAATATCTTACAGGCACAGGATGCAAAATCTAAGAATAAAAGCCATACAATATGTTGCAGAGGTGTGTAATCCTAATGGCATATGTTTATAAGCACCACAGTTATTTTAATGCAGGGAAAGAAAGGGTAATTGCTCTAGTAATGGACAGGGGAGACACCAATGCCCATGCAAAATTCTGTGCAAACATTGACTTTTTCTGAAACTTAATTCTAGCACTCTTCTATCCTGCCCCAATGTAGCAGTTTTTAGTCCTGAAAATCTGTTTGCCTACTGAGTCCTGCATTATGGGAGGGTAAAGGAGCAAGTAGGTTTACCAAACCTGAAGGTGCTGGCATTTTCAGCAGGGCACCAGCAGGCAGCAGGATTCCATTGTATTGAGAAATAGGGGAGGTTTATGGTTCAGAGGCAGAGGTGGTCTTTTAGTACAGCTCATCTCCAGCTGTAAAGCTCATGCGCAGCCAAAGAGCTTTTGTTAGTTTTGGATAGGGTGCTACAAAGTTTGGGTTTGTTGTTGTGTGTCCTCATTGGGGGCACTAAAATATGACTTCTTGTCCTGCTGGCCACCAGAATACCATATTTACAGAGAACTTTTTGGGAACTTTTGGGAACTTTTAGACTTGCAAGTTTAGTCAGATGAAGGAAAACTTCAACCATGCTCTATAGCTCTGGGGAGACGGCTCCCACATAGGGGAGACAGCTTCCCTTGATGGGCCCCAACACTAGTGCAAACCATAGAAATACAGAAAGGTGAGCCAGACCAAAACCAGACAAAATATTCCAAAGTAATTTTCATTGTTGGTTAAAAAAAACCCCATATTAATACATCCAACCCTGTTCAGGGGCAACACCACCAATCCTTTATCAGTGCTCAACACAGGATAAAACTTGGATGGTCTTAAAGGGAACAGTGACTTCACAGATATATATAATAACTGGCATTGAACTTTGCACATGGAGCAACAACTTGACAACAGGGACCTTTGCTGAGCCCTGATGAAGGGCAAAAAAAGTTATATTAATATATCCAACACGGTTCAGGGGCAACACTACTTCCCCTTCATCAGAGCTCAACACAGGGCCCTGCTGCCAAGTTGTTACTCCATGTGTAAAGTTCAATAGCAATTCTTATACACAGTATATCTGTGAAGTTCTGTTCCCTCCGAGTCCATCCAAGTTTTATCTTCTGTTGAGCCATGATGAAGGGGTAGTGGTGTTGCCCTCAAAACATGTTGGACGTTTTTATTTGACTTTTGTACCAATAATTAAGATGATCTTGGTCTCTTTCATTTGATGGCCACCAGAAGATGAAGTGAGGGGAAGCCTTTATAAGGAGGTCACAAACAGCAATAACACTTGAGAGATGTTTTAAACCCTTCCCCATTCTTTATAAAACAAAAAAAAACATTTTGGCTGGAGTTGGGCTTTAATGAGCAAGGCTCTAATCCTTGCAAACAAGCAGCATTTTCTAAGATAAGATCCTCTCACCTGCCAGGAATGAAGGCATGAAATTACTGGCATAAAAGATCTCATTTCATCTTAGCCTTGCTAAAAATAAACTACCAATCAACAGAACACTTTTACCGTAGTTGCTAGAATTTTAATATCATTTTCAGCAATACTTTATTTCTGTACTGGCTTTTCTGACAGCATTGCATGTAATTTTGCTTGAAAAGGCTGCCTATTTGTTTATTATATAACTAAACTTGCATGTCAATGCTTTTTCCATTTAAATACTCCTTGAAAAACAACAAGTCAATATTAATACAAGTTAGAATTTATATGTGTTGAATCCGCCTGATGATCAGATAAATATTAATATTTATGTGTGTTAATGTTTTACAGTAAAACTTTGTTTCTATGTACAATATATTTACAGTATAAATACTTAATGTGTAAATAAATAAATACAGTATATATACTGCATACACAGTATATGTATTAGAATATATTTTTTATATATATATATATATATATATATATATATATATATATGTTAGAATATATTACTAATTATAATTATTAATATTACAAATATACAAAGGGCATTCCATTACATAAGCAGACATGGTTTCATTGCAGTGGTGCACAGTAGTTGTGCTTTAATGCTCCCTGTCACAATGCAAATCTATGAATTGGCTGACTCATTGAAATTAATACAAGCCCTGTATGGCTGCTAACTTCATCTCCCCAGCAGCACATACTCACCTCTACTTTACTCGCCTGCCTTTCTCTTCAGCTGCCAGGCAATCCCCATGTTACAGTGCTGGTGATTGGCCAGCACTTTCACATAGAGGGAGCCATATGTTCCTCTGTACAAGTTACTTTCTTTGCTCACAACAGTGTGGGGGTCACAGTCACGGTGTGGGGTGGGAAGGGGGCCAGTAAGGGCTCGTTTAAATGTGTTTTGAAATGTTATTTATTTATTATTATTTTTTTCATGGTGGTGGTGGTGGTGGGTGGTGAAATTTTACATACCATGTATGGCCATTGACACACCTATCGTGTTAGGATGCATTCTTGATGCATTTGCCAGACACCTCCTCTACATTGGTTTTCTGTTGTAAGGACTCCTGTACTACCATTTAAACTAGTACTGTTTTCCAAATGTATCTCAAGCATGCAGGAAACACCATAGGGGTGTTTCTGAATGTGTTTGTGGCACATTTATATTGACATGAATAGAGGCATTTTGGGAGTAGTAAAGCCGCTGACTGCTACATGCTGGATATACTGTGGTGCTTAGCACCACGGTCGTGTATGAACTTTACTGTCAGCTGCAATGGACATAATCGGTACTGAGCAGTGACTGGTGGTCACGAGGCTTTTATAATGTGGATTAAATTTCTGTTCTTGGAGTACATGTGAACTTTTAGAGATGTGTCTAAATCTGCCTAGCCTCTGAAGTCCGATCCACATTCAGGTCGTACTCTGAAGGCTACTGACAGGCGGTGAGAAAGCGGTGTGGTGCCTCTTCACCACCAGTTTTACCCCCATCTTTGCTGACAATCAATGGCGCAACTGTGTGCAATCTGGAGAGTTTGAAGTGCTTCCCAATTTACTTGAATGTGTAGCGTTCAACATGCTTGCTGCCTGCCAGTCACTACATAGTTAGTCTGGCTGAAAAAAGACAAAAGTCCATCCAGTTCAATCATAAAAATAAATAAATAAATAAAAAAAAGATGAACTTTGCTGTGGGCACGAAGCGAAGCATCGTGGCCACAGTATGTAAACATCATCATCTGCTGTAGCTTAGGGGCGTTTGGCAGATGGCAAAAACACATCTCAACCTTGCATTTTGCCACCCACCAACCAAGTCTAAACAAAGCCTAAAGGTTACCGAATAGAGAAAAATTAGGTCTCCCCTCTTGCCAGACAGACTGTGCTGTGTGGCAGAGCTGGGTAAATCTCAAAACTTGATGGACAGAGATAAAAATTCTATGGCCAGTAAAACTGCTCTCATATATGTATTTCATATGTGTATGTCACTTTTTGCCTGGAAATCAGCTTTTTAAACAACTCTAAAAATAGGCACTTGCTGGAAACATATCATGCTTATCCTTACTGTATAACTTTTCACAAAGAAACAAAAAACTGTATGGTACCAGTGAGAAATGCTATGGACATTTCCAAGGACAAACCTTGAAAACCGGGGACAGAGTCAGTTGGCAACTATGATTTCCCGATATTTATTTAACCACCAGGATACCCACACATCATCCTAAATGATTTTCTTGTCATCCATCCAGTAGAGATACACTGTTATTTTGTTTAGAATAAAGAGGCCTTTCAGAGTAATTTTAGGAATAAAGGATGCATTTCACAGATCTAATGGGAGATTGTAAGGGAGCAGCTTCTAGACAGCTGCCACTTCCTTTACAAACCCCTCTGTGATTTGTCATGTGCCACACATGGGAACAAAACACATTTGATTGTGATTATGGAAAAAAAAAGGGCCAGAATTTTAAATGCAAAAAGAAGGAGGTGTGAGAGCAAGGAAGGCAAAGAAAAACAGTCTGGCAATTACAGCTGCCAATGTGGGCTTGAACGGACTATCACAAACAATATACTCGTCCCCGATAAATTTTATTCTGAGAGAAAGATCACATCACTAAAAGGAAAAAAGAAATGGGGAAAGATGGTGGCTGCATTTTCTGACCTACCTTATGACTATTTTAGTTGCCTGGCTGTCATGCTCAGTTCCTGGCTTCAATAGGTTAAATGACTGACCCTGATTGTTGATTTACTCAATGCAACCAGATTCTTTACTTTGAAAGGGAATTGTAACTGCTTAGTGAATAAGGTGAAGCTCTACTGGATTCCATTATCCAACCATGTGCAAGGAAAAAATGCAGTTTTTTCTTTGACTGTGATTTGATAATCTTTTGCAAAGTGAGTTGTCATCACATTTAAAGAGCTAATGAAAAAATCCCTTGCAAGTGAAAACTTCCTTGTAATTTGAACAACCTAATTGCATTCAGTAAATCAAGCCCAATAACTTCTGGTTTTTATTATCTCCATTATCATGGTGTAAGTGACTTTCAGTGTGGTAACCAGGGGGCTATCATTTTAAAAAATTTAAATACCGGTTCCCTGCAATGCAAGAGGTATTATACCCACATCTCTGGATGTCCTTGCCTACTCTTTTTCCCTCTGTTCCAATGCTGTAGCCTTCATCGGACTCTGAAACATCCGACACTTCAGGAGGATTTGGATGCCTTTGCTCCACATTGCACACAATAGTTATTTCCCCAGACCCCTCCAACCCTTATGTCACTACAGGGCTTTGAAAGTTTATTTACCCTTTAAAAGATAAGTTCACCTTTTGCAGGGAACAAAATGCAAATTTATAATTTTTTGCTTTGAGAGTCTGTAAAGCATTACACCAGCAATCAGAAGACCGCTG